GATAATATTCTCACAGAAGCATTTTGATGTGCTGAGCTGAAAATAAATGAAGAAGTTCTTTGATGAAAGAACTATTTGTTTTAGCGCAAGTGCTAATGCTGACTCTGGTAATATAATTATTTATATGCATCTTCTAACGCTTAGCAGGATTCCTTGTTCAGAAGTACCTTGAAAGCAAGTGCTGTTCAGAAGTTATTTGAAAGCAAGCGTTGATCAGAAGTACTTAGCAAGCAAAGCGTTGTTTAGAAGATAAGCAAGCATGTTCTGAATTCAAGACGTGAAGCTATGTTCTGAAAGAATGCAAAAGCTAACAAGTCTTGTCAAGCTTCAGGAAACATGTTCTTACAAGTGCCGTTTGCTCATTTAATGCAAAGACGACTACATGCACTCAAGTGTCTACACTAGTTCGTTGGAAAATGGAATAGTACAAGGAAACACGCAAACATTTAATGCTCTCCACATTTGAAGGCAGCAACGGTCATTTTTTTCTTACTATATATAGAAGGACATTAATTGCAAGCCAACACCTCAAGAATTTGAAAAGAAGCAAGAACTACGCAAAAAATATTTTGGACTCACAAATAATCTTCATACACTTTGTGCAATATTATTCTTAGTGAAAAATCATAGTTGTGATATAGCTTTCTAAGAAGCAAACTTTGTTTCACTATCTGTAAATATTTAACTCTTGTAATTGTTCCTTGAGAGACCAAGTTTGGTCAAATTTCTCAAGTAGACTAGGACTAGTTTAAGTCTTAGTGGTGTGAGTCACTTGTAAGATTACTTGTGCATTGTTAGTCACAACAATTGTTGGTGTTTGTAATCAGTTGATTATAGTGAATTAAGTCCTTGTTGAGAAAGGCGAAATCACCTTGGCGGGTGGACTGGAGTAGTTTGAGTTCAAACGAACCAGGATAAAAATAACCTTGTCTTTCCATTATTGTTGAGCCTTTAAGAAAAAGAAAAAGAGAACTTATTCAACCCCCCCCCCCCCCCCCTTCTAAGTGTTTTATCACCCTTCAGACTTTTCTGGTAGCAGTATCCTCGCCAAACGTGACCATAATATCGACGTATCCCTAAGGCTTAGACGTCGAGCCGTTAAAGCCCTGCAGGTCTGACCCCACGTATGGTGAAAGGTGAGACTCGTCGAGCTGTAGGGTTCGGAATAACTGGTTGTACATCACGTCGAAGGAACTTCCCTCGTCGACGAGGACGCAATGTACGTCAAAGTTGGCCATTCTTGTCCTTATCAGTAGAGGGATGGCCGAATTGGGGTCCCCTCCGGGGATCTCCTTGATGTAGAAGGTGATTGACTCTGATCTGCCTTTCACCCTTTCAAAGGTCACCGTTTGAGGGGGGGGGGGTCGTGTTGACCAGCTCTCCAGCTTCCTCTTAGCTGAATTTATAGTCAAATTATTGAACCTTCCACCATTGATGACCATGGCGGAGGGGAAGTTTTCCCACCTGCTATGCATAGACAGAGGTTCTTGGAGATATCCAGGGACTTAGAAGTCCTCGGGTCTTGTGACGGAGAATGCGGTTTAGATGGGAACTGACTCGTTAGATGGTCGGGCATCCTCTTCTGCTTCCCTCGTATCATGGGTATCCCGACGAGGAGCGTCATTTTGCCAATATTGTGCCAGTATCCCCCCTTTTATGAGGGTCTCGATGGCATCCTTGTGGTGGACGCAGTGTTCGGTCAGGTTCCCGTGGCTCCGGTGGTACTGGCAGTATTTGCTTTGGTCCACCCCGAGTTTGGCAATAGCGGGGCGGGGACATTTGACGCCACCATCCTTGAAGTCTGTACTTGTGCACTCCGTTAAGATGCACTCATGGGAAGCCGTTAGCGGAGTGTATTCGGTGAACCTCCCCGAGGGCCCCCTCTGTTCCCGGGCGTCTCGGGGTTTATCGTCCCTTTTCTTCTCTCTAGTTCGTCGAGGAGGGACAATGTCTTGTCATGGGTTACTGCTAGATCTGTGGTTTCTAGGGTCTCAGGCTCTATTGGCCGCTTCTCTCTCCTCGTAGTCCATATAGGCCCTGGTCTTTTCGAGGAGGGCATTGAACGTCCAGGGTGGTTCGATGCCTACGACTTTTCTGAACTCGGTGCCGGAGAGGATCCCCCCTCTCAAGCAGGTACCTCTTCATATGGTCAGTACAGGGGACCTGGATGGCTTCCCGGTTGAAGCGATCGATGAATTCTCTCAAGGTCTCGTCATGTTTCTGGACGATGGCCTCGAGCGCTGCTTTGGTCTTCGGGTGTCGTCGCGAAGTAGTGAACGAGCTGATGAATTGGTTCTTCAGGTTTCACCAAGAGGTAATTGACCTCAGGGCGAGACCTTTATACCACTCCATAGCCGCTTTCCTCAGAGTCGTGGGGAAAAACCGACACTTGATTGGTCCCTCGACGTTGTGGTAGTGAAGCATGGCTTCGAACCCGTCTATATGGTCGACCGGGTCGGTGATGCCGTCGTACTCCTTTAAGTGGGGAGGCTTCTCCATGCCCGAGGGAATGGGCGCCTCCATGATAACTTGTGACAAGGGACCGCGAGGGTCGTCCTCGTCACTCTGTTTGGGAGAGTGGGATGGAGATCCGATGGAGTGGCGGTAACTGTGGCCATGGTCACGCAGAGCGTTCCTTGGGCGGTATGACTGTTGATGGTTTCCCCCGTGTCTATCTCCGGGGGGGGGGGGGGGGGTCTTCGTTCTTGCCGCGAGGGGACATAGTCGCGCCTTCCCGCATCGACGAGCGGTTCCCTCTCCAAAGGGGGTCATCGTCCGAGTGGTCAGGGTGACGGGCTTCTAGAGATGTCCTGATTCCATCTCCGCGGGGGAGATTGGGGACATTCGTCCGTTTGTCGAGGGGGAGGAGATTGAGGCCTCCCGTGTCTTCTCGGGGGCCTTCGATCATCCTCGAGTGCTCTCAGTCTTTCCCCCTGGGCGAAGATGAGATAGTTGGTTTGATTGATCGCCTCGAACAGTGCCCTGGTCGTGGCGTCTGCCCCGGCGGGGACGGGGACCTCGTGAAATTGGCCGGGTGGATAGTTCAATGGAGGTGGTCAGTCTTCTTCAAGTCGAGGAGGGATTGACGAAGAAGAAGATGTGGCTCTGTCCCTGTAGTTAGAAGGTCCGGGCACGTTGACGCAGGGGACCGTGTTATGGCCGGCGGTACCGGCGTTGTCAAGGACGACATTGTTGTCGGCGATGTTTTTGTTAGCATCGATGACACAGACGTTCTGGTTGTCCTGAGTCTGGTCATCCATGACAGTCGAGGATGGTTTTAACTTTGGTCTTTTAAGTGAAGAGAAGACGGGGAAGCTTAGATTCCCACAGACGGCGCCACTAATCTGACCTGATCAGAGTTGGATCGTCACAGCTGGCTTCGAGCTGAGTTTGAATGAGATGGGGGGTACCTGCAAGACACTCTGATGGCAAAGTGAGAGGCAGAATGAGCAAACAAGTATGAATTTAGGTGTGAATGAATGAATACCTGACCCTCTCATGAGAGAGAGTATTTATAGCTCCCAGCGTTGGGCCAAGGTCCCCACTATTGAGCCACACAGAGGCTCAATAACAGGAACTGCCAAGATTTACGTGAGTATGGAGTCCAACAAGTGGACTCCCCCTGGTCAACCGCTCCGCGAGAATAGAATTGAACCCGAGATTTTCGGAAGGCAGTTTGATATGTCCGTTGAGAAGTGGTGGGCCACGTCCCCTAACGATTAGATGAGAAGTTGCCCCATAATCTCTAACTTGGGTTGTCTTTGAGCCTTTCGTTCGTAGGACAAATGTAGGCCCAGTCCAGATCACTTTTTATTTTTATTACTTTTTACTTTTATTTTTTAAATAAAATTGTAAATTTGTTTTTAACATTTTTTCAGTTTGGATTTACTTTCAATTTCGATTTGATTTATAACACAAATTTGGTTCACTTTCAATTTGATTTATAATACAAATTTGGTTCACTAAATTAACATAATGGTCTTATTATTTTTTAAACTCTCTATCGGCAACCATCACATTTAACTATTATTATTAAATCAGTACATTACATTTTAATTATTTTAAAAATCTAATAATCAGTACATTATATTTTAGTTATTTTAAAAATCTAATAATGAACTGTTTGAGATAAAGACTTATTTTTATGTTTATTTTTAAAACTGATTTTCTTTTGAAAATTCTTAATTTAAAATTGATTTAAAATTTTAAAATTTAAATAATTTTTAATTTTTTTATAAATAATATAAGAAAAGAAAAAAATAAGAGATGCACGGCCATTCAATAACCAAGGTGTATTTCGCTAAATCATAGATGAGATTGATAGTTTCTATTGAACATATGTCCATTAAACTCAAATAAAATTATCTCAAAGTGGCTTAAGTTTTATTTGAAATTTGTAAAGTTGTGTAACACAGTAAATACACCAAATCAAGGATTAAGAAAGAAAGATAAATAGACACCAACAATATTTAGTGTTAAGAAAGAAAGATACCATAGCATATATATTGAGTGATTGACACTAAGTACACATTTGCATTTTCAATATGCCTAAGTAAACACACAAATCAAAACAAAAAACATTTCTCTTTTAAATGTAGACCAAAATAGAGACAAAAATATTCATGTTTTTCTTTTCCCAAAATGAGATATTCTAAACAAGTCTCTTAACTCTTAAGTTTTTTTTGTTGAGGAAATTCTTAACTCTCGAGTTTAAAAACATCATCTTATCTTCCTCCTTGACTTATCTAAATTGTTCACACCCTCCAGTCCAATAACAACAACGACAGTTCAATTTTTGTGGTGTCCTATTATCCCATCTTTGAAACGTAAACAATAAACAAATATTATATCAACTAATTTTTTAACATCTACGTTGACTGTTACATACAACATACATCCTTTGAAATTTCAACTACTACTCATATATTCACACTCACGCGCCACCAACCGCTCCAAACACGTTTCGTGTTTTCAAAAAGGTGCCACGTCAGCACTTCGACTCAACTCAACTCACTGAGTCTCACCTCGTCCACCTTCAAGTTCAACTCAGCTACCGAGCTACAACCACCACCACCACCACCACAAGACGAAGGAGAAACAACGCTTCCTTTCCATTCCCTACTAAGCATCCTCTTAAACGACAACATCCGACTCATCGGCGACCGAAACGACGACGGCGAGTCACAACACTCTTCATTCCTCGTAGGCACCTCAACGGTCACTCCCTTAAAAGACGGCTTTCTTCTCAACCCAACCGAACTCGAACAAATCTCTTTCCCGGTCCGTTTCAAATTCTCATTTTCCAAAACCGAACCGTGACTCGAACCCGAACCGGTTCCCGGTTCATAAACCGTTATAACAACCTCGGGTTGCGGTTCAAATGTGGTCTCAACCGGTGCGCGACAAAGTGGACACGTGGAATGAGAATGAAACCACATGTCAATACATTCTGTGTGGAAACTATGGTTACATTTGGGTAATACCCTACCAGTTTCCCCGGGTTCAAACTCCGACAAACAAACAGCACACTCCGTGGCGTTTTCCGGGTGAGTTTCCGGACTGTATAAGAATAACGGTAGTTTAGCGATGACGGAGACGTCGAGGCCGCGGGTTGTAGTGACGGAGGCTGTTGTATTGTCGGTGAAGAAAACAAGCTGACTGCGACGGCGGAGACGGTTGCGACGGCGGCGAGATTGGAGAAGGTACCAGCGAGCGTAGATATGGAGACAGAGCATTAGAACGATGACGAATAAGAGAAAGACTATGGCGCAGAGCATGATTTTTCCACTGAGGTTGTAACTCTTTGCGTCGAAGTTGTTGGGGATATTCGGGTTTTCATTGTTTTTTTCCATTTGTGAAAGAGAGACAGAGAGAAGGGTGTGTGAGTAAAAGGGAGGTGTGAAGAGAAAAGAAGAAAGGAAAATGAAGAATAATTATGAAGGGAGAGAAAGAGAGGTTTAAGTAAGAGAATGAAATGCGGAAGAAAGAGTGAGGAAGGTTCTTGAGGGTTTCTTAGCTGACACATTCATATGATAGGAATGATGAAGGGTTTTCTAATTTGGGGAAATGTGCATTTTTTATTTCTTACTCTTCACACCTGCACCTCTCTTGTCTGAGGTGGAACAAAAGAACACCAATTTTGACGCGGTTTCTTTTTATATGTATTTTTTAGATAAATAATTGTAAATTTTATATTAATTCAATTAGTAGCTATGTATATATGACCAAAAAAAAAAAAATTATGGCAATTCAAGAATATTATGTAGTGTAATTATTAATAAAGAGATTAATTAAATACATAATTTTTGTTGTTGTGTTTCAGTAGTAATTAAATAAATTATTTTTGTTGTGTAAGTAAATAAATAAACACTTAATGTATATCAAATAGTGAAAGTTTAACCTTTAATGTTATGTTTGAGAGTATAGAGGGGAGGAGAAGAGAGAATTTTAAAAAATAATTTCTTTAAAAAATATAAAGAAATTTTTTATATTTTTTTGAAAAGAAGAGTTTGTTTAAAATAATAAAATAATGTTTATTATTAATGTGTTTTTATTTTTTGAAAAATTATAACTATAAAAATTATATTGAAATAATTTATAAACCCTTCAAAATTCTCAAAAGCCCTCATTCAATATAAATTGAGTTCTTCTAAATTAGGGGGGTTTTCGTGTTATAAAGAAAAACAAATCCTTCAAAACTCTCATAACTAAAACCTCTATTTTGTATTCAATCCTTCCTATTTTTCAAAGTCCTCCCCTCTCTTCTAAACTCTCAAAAACAACCTAAAGTTTTTTTATATAGAGATGTATTTATTAATTCATCAATGAACTAAAGAGAAGAAAGTGTCACATAGATGAGTGTGATAGTCTCAAATATAATGTCACTTGTCATTTTCACATTCCCCTGACGACATCGACTTGGGACCGTGGGCATAGTGGTGTCTTAAGTCTTATGTCACTTGTCATTTTCACATTTCCCCTTATGACACCAACTCGAGACCGTGAGCATGGCGACTCTAGTGGTGGCTTGTAGGTGCCACTTAAGCACGACGAAACATGTAATTTGAACTATCCTTTTCATGGCTTAATTCTAGATTTTATTCTTTCTTTCGTTCAAATTTTCATTTGTCTTGTACAAAGTCGAAAACATGCTTAATTATCTTGAGTATTTCTACGTGTAGACTCTAAATGTTTGTTTTAGAAGTTGGATTTTAGAGGGTTTTTGAGGAGAAAAGTTTGGAGGGTAGCGTTTATATTTTGAGATGTGTTTGATATTTTTTTAAACTTTTTTATAATACTAAACACATATCAAAATATAGACGCAATCCTCCAAAAACCAACTCCCAAATAGACCCTAAAACAATTTAGAGAGTGCTTAAAATACTATTAGAAAAGTATTCATATGAATGATTCTAGCCTTGATCTATTTAACTTCTAATTAATCTCTAACCATCTAATAGTTCTCAAATAATGACAACCGAGACTTCTGTTTCAAGCATCAAAATGATGAACCAAGACCTTGTGAAGGTTAACCGTTTCCATGGGACAAACTTCACTTGCTGGCAAGACAAGACGATCTTCCTCATGGCTGCTTTAGAGATCTTCTATGTATTGGATCCTGAATTTGCACTGGTTATAGAACCCCTAGATGATGAGTATGAGGAACTTCAGGAAGAACACAAGAAGCAAAATAAGGATAAACTATTGTGTAATGTATACATTCTAAACACACTATCTGATCGTCTCTAGGATCTCTACAGAGATAATCAATAGGCAATGAGAATTTGAAAGACACACGAGTTCAAATTTCATGCTAAGGAGGAAGGTACTAAAATGTTTCTGATTTCAAAGTACTTCGATTTTAAAATGTTGGATTCAAAGTCTATACTTACATAAGTGCACGAGTTACAAGTTCTTGTAAATAAACTTAGGGTTGTGAAGATCGATATTATTGAAGATTTCCTAATTGGTGAAATTATTCCAAAATTACCATCTTCTTGAAAAAGCTATAGGAAGAAGTTACTTCATAATTTTGACGACTTCTTACTAGAGAAAATCCAGAAATATCTTTGAATCGAGGAAGAATTGAAAGATAGAGAGAAATCTAAGGTTGTTGGATATTCTAAGGCGAATGCGATGAACGTAAAAAGTAAGAAGAAACAAGATGGTAAGTAGAACTATCTTGGTATTAAGAAGGATAAAAAAGTTTAATAATTCTGGTGGATCAAAGGGTCCCAAAGGCAGATGTTATGTGTGTGGAAAACATAATCATTATGCTCGAAATTGCAAGCACAATAAGTCCCGACATGAGGAAAATATTTTTCAAGCCAATGATAACATAATTATAATTGTGAGAAAAGTTATAGATATCAAAGGAAAGGTATAGTATGGCAGTATGATACTTGTGCCAATGTCCATGTTTCCTATGACAAAACCGTGTTCAAAATCTATTATGAAGTCACTAATGGACAGAAAGTTCAAATGGGAAATGAATGGCGTTCAAGGGTCGTTGGAATGGGAACTATGTAAATCAACTTCATTTATAAGAATAAATGTACTCTTATTAATGTACTTCATCACTACAATGAAAAATGCCTTTTACCTCAGTTGAAAAGAAGTCTTACCCCAGTTTCACAGATGATGTAACAAATGGCGTCATGAAAAGTGTGCCACTTTACATCTCGATTTTAACATAACTTGACGGGTAATTTATAAAGGTCATGGGTTCGATCCATAGGGAGATCCTTTTTGGAATTCTTAAATGGAGAAAACACATTTCATCTCGGTTTTGACATTCCACGGACGGGTATAACACCTATCACCTCATTTTTGACATAAAACTGACGAGTAAAACACGATTGAGTTTATTAAATATAATGTGTATTGGTTATTTCACTAAACTCTAACTGAACATATAACTTCTCAAAATTGGTTACATAAATAATTATATGAACAATTATGTTATATTTGAAGAACAACTTACACTGATTAACATTTTTTAAGCATTATGCACTCATCATTCATCTCATATTATTTAATGGTTAAAGTCTATTCAATGTTTCAAGTTCTTTATTCAACACTTTATTTTCTACTAATTCATTCTTGAAAACATAAAATTTGATGCTTTGAAAAATGAATAAATATGGAAGAAATTTGAATGAAAACTAGAAGTATTGGAGAGATTTTAACTATAAAAGATCATGAAATGAATGATGAGTTGCAAAATGATAGAAAAATATTTATCAGTCTAAGGTATATTTCAAATACAACATAATTTTTCATATGCTTATTTTCAAAATCAATTTAATAGTTTATGTACTCAAAGAGGGGTTAGTGAAACAAGCAATTGACATTCGATATAATAAACTCAACTCGATGGAACAATATGAGAGTTGCATAAAGAATCACAAAAAATATAAACTCAATATCAATATCAATCTAAAAGTAAAACTCAATAACAAAAACTAAACTACAACGTATATATTTTCATAACTTTTGGTAGTAGAACAACTAAACAACAACAACAGTAACATACAAAACTCAAAAATAACAACTTACATTAAACAACAACTCAAAAAACAATCTAGTAACAAAACTACAACAACACCATCAATAAACCTATAACATAAATTTATTTAAACAACAAGATTAAACCTCTCTAGGGTTTATAGTCTCAACAATGAGTCTCAACAAAAAAAACATCAATAAACCTATAACATAAATATATTTAAACAACAACAACGATATTAAACCTCTAGGATTTAGTGTCTCAATAACGGGTCTAAAAAACAACAACATAAATAAACCTATAACATAAATTTATTTAAACAACAATGTTAGGCTTTGGTTTATTGGCTGCATTTTGTTAAAATAACTAGTCAGTAAGATGTTGGACAAGATGTTGTGACATGTTGGTACGACATTGCAGCTGTGACGTTTCTAGTCTTGGAAGATTTGTTTTGTGGTTTATAAGATTTGATTGTTGTTCCTTGTGGACCAAGATGTGCATTTGGATATTTGATTTACTGAAGATTTGTTTCAAGGAGGAAATATCTGAAGATTTAGTTCTCAAAATAGAATGTCAAAACATTATTGAGAACATATCTTTCTGCACCAGAAGACTTTATTTGATTTGCAGAATATTTGTTTGTAGAGATTTAATATCCAAGCCCAGACACTTTTATGGATATAAATAAAATCATTCTAAACCTAAAGAAGATACGAAGCTACACATGAGAGTATAGACTTTAGGATTTCATCTTTTTGTTGTTCATTGTTCATTATGAGCCACTATTCTATCTTGTTGATACATGAGTTGGAATCTTTAGTTGAGTGGTAATTTGTGAATCACTCATAAGTTGTGAAGCAGTAATGCGTTCTGTTTAATTGGAAGCGTATCATCTATTTTTATTGTCTAGGTTGTAACTGTCACTGGTTTGTGACTAAAGGAAAGTGAGAAGGGACTCATATTTAGGAGTTCCTAGGTAGAAATTGCATGGGTAGTGATTAGGTGAGAAATTTGTAAAATAGGGGTTGTTGTACCCCAAAATTTGCCCTCCAATATTCTTCAAGATTTGCCAAGATCAAGGTTCAAAATCTCCCAAGGGTTGCACAGTCCAATTGCCTCCTAACACAGTCAAAATTAGGGTTTTGGTTCTTGTAAAGAAATTGAAGTTTTCAAGGGTCCAATCAAGTCCCATATGCCCATAAACATTGTCAAGCATCCATATGCCAAGTTTCAAGGCTCACAAGGTCAAGTTGCACAGTCAAAAACCCTAATTGCTCAATAGTCAACTGTAGGGGCAAAATGGTCATTTGGCAGTCAAAAGTCAAAAATTTTGGTCAACGTCTT